GGGGTCAGAAAATAGTTTAATTCCAATCAGAGCGAGGAATTGTGCTTAAGTTTAGGATGTATGAGGATAGAGAAGGCAGGAAAATATAATTTGGGATCAAACCTCGGGAAACTGAAATCGCTGAAGAGATTTTTTTTCGTGACAATAACCAAAGGCCTCACCGATCCCAAGAATGCAGGAAGTCAGTGGAGCTGGCACTTTGAATTTGAATATTTTGGGAATGTGCAGACAACCTTGGTGGTCTACAGAAAAAGGACCTAAAGGTGAGCAGAAGCACATCAGCGTTTTGAAATAGCCAAATCACGGACATCAATCTGTTATTTATTTATTTTTTTTATTAAACCAAGAACTACACTCAAGGCTTTTACACAAAGACATCAAAGAGCAGAGAGAAATTCCTTTAAGATCTGCTCAATCACCCCACACATTTCTCATGAGATGATTAATCAGCTGTTGTCGACATGATAAATGTGTTCTGTGCTTTGTGTAATCTTCTCACATAGTGAACCTAGATTTGTGGCTCCATGACTTTATGTGAAAGTGATAAGATTGTTTAGGGTTTTTTTTTATGTAACCGATGTGCTTTTTACCTCCAATGCCCTTGAAAGGTAGACAAAATATCAGCAGCCAGCTCCCCTCATTCTTTTTGTCCTCTTGTGAACCACAGAGCGCAAGACCTTTCACATCCTCACCACGGGCGACGCATTGTGTGGAAAGTGACAAAATTCTGCCAGGAACCTCTGGAGGAGAACACATTCAGGATAGTTGTAATAAAGCCCAAGAATTCTCACATCAGATCTTTGTACATATTCATCTTTGTAACATATTCTTACCGACATATCCTAGAACTGCAAACTTTGCTGATGGCCTTCCATCGAGTACATATAGATGTGAATCCAATCCACTGCAGAGAAGGTAGCGCCCCTCTTGATCAAAACTGTAAAATGACATCTTGGTTTTATTTTCATGACCCAAAACTAAAAGCTTCTCTCTTGCATTTAATGCATTTATGTGTCATGAGTCATCTGACAGTTGATGCTCTTTCAATGATGGAGGATACTTGCACTATGTGATCCACAGCAGTGTGGTAGAGATGAACCTTGTGCACCAGGCGAAGCTGCTTCTCAAAGTTCAAGTCAACGAAAAGGATTTTTCCTGAAGCTGTTCCAACAGCGGCGTAATGTGCAATGGGACAGCAGGTGACGTTTATCACCTAAACAGACGTAAATTATCTCGATACACTGTTATCGTTTAATTATGCTCTGACAAATCTGAAGATATTGTAATACGCTTGTGGAACTGTTGGTTTTTACTCGATGTCGATCTTACCTCTGTTTCTAGGGGCAGGGAGGCGATGCAGGTGCCACCGGAGGACCACAGCTGCAGAATGCCACTATCCCTTAATGACTGCAGTGAGTGGAAACGTAAACACAACAGCTCACAGCGAAATTATATAGGTTATAACAACACAATGTAGCCTGATTTACGAGAAACATGAACACTTTACCACACAAATGTTCTTGTCAGAGAACATAGCAGCTGACAAAAAGTTGCCACTGTGATCATCCAAGATCTTCTCAATCTGGTCTGATCTATGTGCTGTCTTCAGCACATAGATCTGCCCCTGAAAGATTGACCAAATTCGCATTTAGCTAGCATGTAAAGCTCGATGGAATATCATGTGTAGGCTAAACAACATTTAGGTGCTCACTGTATTGGCGGACAGAAGCAGTTTGTCTTTGTTGGGGGAGACCACTGCAGTCGTAACAGGTCTCTCTAACTCCCAAGTTTGTCTGATGCTGATTTGAGTCTCTTTGCTCTGCAGACAGTGCATCACACTCTCCTGAAAAACATTGAAATGTTTAAAGCGCTTTTATCTGCGAATGCCAAAAGCTGGTAGTGCTCATTGCTGCATACCTTTCCTACTGCAATAAGACCATTGCCATAAAGGGCTACAGCTTGAAAATAGAAGCTTTTGAGTTCAGGAATGGCACCCGCAGCTAAAAACAAAAGAAAGAGGAAACTATTCCACTCAGATGAATAACGCGGGTGTTTATTATGATCTGTGTACAATTTAGCTTACCTTTAGGGTCAAAAAGGACTGAAACAGAGAGGCTCTCGGGATCAACAAGAAGGAGATAGCCTTCAGCACAGCCCACACAAAGTTGCGATGTGGCTGTCCAGCATACGGTAGATGGAGTTACTGGGGCTGCCTTAGGCTGTTTGAACACAAGGTGAGTTGCAATCAACATTTTGTCCTTTTTGTTTGGATAAAGTTTATTCTAACAAATGGTTCAACTGGTGTAGTTAAATGTTTCATGTCTGTAAACAGTGGGGAAATACTTCATAGCTAAAAGTTTTTTGGGTTTTTTTGAGACCTCTGAAAGGGCAGCCAGAATTTGAGAAATGCAGTTTGGGTCCTTTGTGGAAGTGGGAGTTGGTTTCTCTGAAGAGGAGTCCGGGATTTCTGGAAGCTGTATTGCACTGCAATAGGACAAAAATAAATCTACACGTGTAAATCACCAACTTAATATTTCTTCTTGACAACTTTTCTGTAAGATTACCACTTCAATTATAAATAAATACATGTGTTATTTTACCTCTAAATGATGTTGGTTATATTCATGAACTATCCACTTATAGGTGAATTTCACGGATTATTTCTCTGTGTTGTTTTTTGGGGGTTTTTTTGGTTTTTTTTTACCTTGGTTTCAACAGATGGAAAGACCCACATCTCTCTATGTTCCAGAGAGTGAGGGTTGTGGTGCCCAAAGCACAAAGCTGGAGGCAATTCAAGGGGTTGAACTCCAAATAAATTACATCCTGTCCACCTTGAGACTGTGTACAGAGCAACTCAGCCTTTTCCCAGTTCCTGTAAACAGAATTACTATAAATGTCTAATTAGGATAAACATTAAAGTGTATAAGGTGCTCATTCCCTCATATTTCATTTACAACCACACATGCACACCTAGGGAGAATTTGGAGAGGCCAACGGTCATGTTTTTGGACTGTGGGAGGAAGCTGGAGAATCCACACATGCACAGGGTGAACATGCAAACTCCGTGCAAAAAGACCCTGAGCTGAGAATCAAACCCAGGACCTTCCTGCTGCAAGGCAACAGCTCTACCAACTGCACCACTGTGCAGCTCTGGATGAGAACATTTGTGTGTTAAAGGGACCCACTGACAGTAAGAATCTTAAAAACTAATATTCAGAGATGCTGGTGACTCCGTTTGACTCACCTTGAGCAACGTGGCAAAGAATTTGACAACTTTAATAACTAGCTGTGCAGCAACACAACTCCTAAAAGACATGCAAATGTAATTCTAATGTGGTTCTTTTGTATTGACTTCGAACCCCAATGCATGTCACCATTTTCAGATTCAAAATTAAATATCATTTTACAAACCTAACTAGAAAATTTCTGAAGAAATTTAAACGGGTAAAAATTTTAACTGTTTGAAGCAGTCACTTTTTCTGATAAAAAAAAAAAAGAACAGTCCGAACAACTGCTTCCCGTTCAGAATCCGTAAAAGCGATGTCACATGATTTCGCTCTGAAGCACCGACTTTCATACCAAAATCCAACTGACTGACACCAACTGTCAGTCAGTTGGAAATTTCGCTATCACACGTATCCCATAAAATATATGGAAGTTTGTGGCTTCACGCTGACAATGTGAAAAAGTTGAAAGGCGTGTTTGGTATCTTACCACACTGTGATGGAGTAGTCAGGAAGCGACGAGCAGGAGCCCAAATAAGGCCCTCCATCACTTAATGTCAAAGATGTATAATCCAGTGGTGTATTTCCTGCAAAAAAAAAAAAAAACACGTATAATTCACTACAATTAATATGTTTCGCAACAGCATATCGCTAAAGCTAACTACCTTTCAGTTCATTTTTCAGCTCTAATTCCGGAAAAGTGTGCACAAATATAGACGGATCCAATTTTCTCTCAGAGAAAGCAAACGTTCCACTTCTGCAGTCAGTTGTCAGCGCACCGACGCTTCTGCCAGGACTCGGAAATACGTTCCGTGTTTTCGTCTCCAGGTTTAGGAAGCATATATGATTCCCACACGCGTAACACACTGTATTATTGTCCACAAATTCGACATTGTCTCTTGTAAATCCTTGAATCCAGCTAGCAAGGGGGAGAAAGCAGGAAAGTAATATGAGCAATGCTGGGCACAGCGGAAAACTGGCAGTTTTTCAGGAATTAAGTAGTAATAAAACAGATCATAAACGTAAAGAAGAAATTTACCTAATTTCTAAGATTCCAATTTCGCTCATTTTAATTCAAGAATACGACGGAGTGCTATTACAGGTCCGAGTTTTCAAGAAAACGAATTTCACAGGCAAGTGGTTTGGTATCCATAGCAACCACTAACGGCTGGAAAGGCCTATCTGTCACGCTATTGGCTGTTAGACACCATGTGCACCGGAAATAGTGTAAAAATAAAAGCACAATGCACATAAAAAAAAACGTCCACAGTTATTCATAAAGTCTTCTGTGTGGCAAGTTCCAAGTGCAAACATGTCCACTGAAAAGAGTGTGATCAAAGGTAAAACTCTAAAATTTTAAAATTTTCCTCTTAAAATATTTTTCTCAAGTTAGCTGAAGTAAAGGTAATTTTATTTATATAGCACATTTTCAGCAACAAGGCGATTCAAAGTGCTTAGTGCAAAGTAGAAGAACGTTGTCTTGTTCCTACTCTTATTTTTCCAAACTGGAAAAATATTAATAAATTACTGTGTCTACATTTGATGAATACTTATTAAATAATATTGAACAGTGGTGTAATCTGGCACGTATACAGATAAAAACTGCTAATGTTTGATTGAGAAATATTTTTATCTTGAATGAATACATTACAAAGTTACCTTGAATGTTCTATTTATGACCCTCCAGAGGGTAGAGAGCCCTATAAAAACTTTATGGCAGGCCTTGAGTTTGACTTGTGTCCTAAAATATGTTGGATAACACACAGTTGTCAGATAAGTATAAAAAGTATAATTTAAGAGCATGGCAGATGTTAAGTCATTAGTTGCATAGAACTTATCTTGTAAAACTCCAAAGTCTGGTTGATATTGACAAAGAGTGGGTATGATTGAGTGCATTACACTCAATTATGATGGGTTATTATTAATGATTAATATTTACAGATCCAAGGGTATATTAATGTGTAACTGTGTGTACAGACTTTGTATGCTGTTTTTCCCCTCACTACATGAAAGCTCATAAACACCATATATATGGAAATACCATAGTCTCTATTAAACAGTAATAATGGGTACTCAATACTTAATTATCTAGGGAACTCTTCACTAATGCTTTGATTCAGATCTCTGCACACTGTGCACATCTAGGGATTGATACTTTTGTGCATTTGTGGAAAATGTCTCAAATTGAGAAAGTGAACATCAAATCACGTTTCATTTGTGCTTCACATTTAAGCTCCACTCCATAATGGCCTATCTCATAAAATCTGGTTATACATTAAGCTTGTAGTTTCCAATAGGGAAAAATATTTGAAAACATTCCAGGACTTTTGCAAAGCGATGTAAGCTTATTGTAATGTGTTCAATAATACTTACTCAATTTATGGCTCCATATATGTATTAATTACATACATTTGCTGATTTTTTTATTAGTTTTTTTTTTTTTTTTGTGACACTCAGGAACCCCTGAACCTGGCCCGGTGCCCAAAGACAGTATACGTCTCTACAGCATGAGATTTTGTCCTTATGCCCAGAGGACCAGGCTAGTGCTGCACGCCAAAGGCATCAAGTAATGCTGCCTCAGATTGTATCTGTCATTGGCAACATGTTTGTTCCTCATATACATTTGAGAAACATTTTATTTCTTTGAGGCACTGCAGAACTTTGTGTCTGTGTGTGCGTGCGTGCGTGTGTGTGTTTTCCAGATTTGACACCATCAACATTCACTTGAGAAACAAACCAGAGTGGTTCCTTGAGAAGAACCCTCTTGGTATGGTGCCAACACTGGAGACACCTGCTGGTGAGGTGATCTATGAATCTCCAATCACCTGTGAGTACCTGGATGAAGCGTATCCGGAGAAAAAGCTGCTTCCCTCCACACCTTTTTGGTAAAGCCCGGCAAAGAATGATGCTGGAGCATTTTTCCAAGGTATGTTATACGGAAAATGTTAAATCCAAATCTTAGGGGTTTGTTGTAAACACACGGACCCCTAAAAGCAACAAATGTTTCTGTAGGTGGAACTACAGTTCTACAAGATCCCAGTGCGGAGGTTAAAAGGGGAAGATGTCTCAGGACTAGAAGCTGAGCTGAAAGTGTCTTTGACCAAGTTGGATGAGGTAAATAGCAACATTTTATTATTATTATTATTTTTTTACTCTAGCCACCAGATGTAAAGTATTTTTTTCTTAAGCTAAAACAGACTCATAATACATAAGAGCAAAAATGATGTCCGTGCAGCACATGTATGTATTTATTTTTACTTTTAGCACCTAGTGAAGAAGAAAACAAAGTTCTTCGATGGCGATACCATCACAATGATCGACTACATGTTGTGGCCATTTTTTGAGAGAATTGAGATGGGTGACCTGGAACCGTGAGTGCTAATACTTTTCTGTTGTTGTTGTTGTTGTTGTTGTAAACTACCCAAATAAACGGTGCAGTGAGAAAGGCAAAAATAAAATAAAAAAAAACATGGAATGTCACTAAAATAGAGAATACTCATTAGATTGTGTGTCTCATTCTTTTTGTGTTGTTAATAAAATCAGAAATTTGATTTCAGTTATATAGTTTTAAAACTCATGCACTTAACATTCTAGAGAAAGGCTTCTTGAGGGCAAATTGGTGCTTTATAATTTAATAACTGAAATTATAAACTAACTCTTTCCAGTTTTGACAATTTGCTAATAATTTTTTCAGCAAGTCAAATAATTGAGTTATTGAAGTTTGGAGAATTAGCAAGGAAAAATTGACCCAAATCCTAAAACATAATAGAGATATGGGCTACATATTAACCAAACTGAACGTTAATGTGCTGTCCTGTGACTAACTGCTTTACCCGTTCTTTGTCACTTTAGCTTTCTTGACAACACACCTGAGCTGAAGAAGTGGAGAGCCCATATGCTGGAGGACCCGGCTGTTAAAGCCACAATCCACAGCGTGGAATCCCACAAGGCCTTCTTCAAGGGATATGCTGTCGAGAAACCCGACTATGACTATGGCCTGTAGAAAACATCTGATAGTCGAGGTGGGGGGGGGGGAATTATATTCATATCATGAAGCTTTTTGACTGTTATTTTCTGAATGAAATTGTTTTTGATAAACTTCGTCAAAAAATAACTTTGTGATTTAAAACAATAAATCTATGAGCTTTCTACTCTGAATTTGATGTAGTTTTTTTTTTAATTATTATTACATGTAAAGACCAAAGCAAGACAATAGTCAAAAAAGGACTCACACTCTCAAACACAGAGTGTTTAACAATCAATATTCACTGGTAATATGGGGTTTTGAAAGGTCCTGGGATTAACTGTTAGTTTGTGAGGTTTCATGTCATTAAAAATTGCATTTGGAACTAAACATGTAAATACATTACATAAGGCACTTAACCTTTGTTTGTTTCTAATCAGAATCAACCGTTCCTGTTTTAGGTCATTTAGCTTTACCAAAGCATTTCTGTTTAATAAGAGACTGAATCATAATAGGGAGAATTATTCTTTAAAAATTTTACATGTCAATTCTAAAATTTGATAGAACCGCATTTTAAAGTATGACGTAGGTCTTGGTATTATACAACAACCTTTACATACAATGTATCTGGTGTTAGCAGGGAATGCTGAGTCATTTTGGTCAAATTTAAGCACCAAAGCAAACAATTGCAAGAAAAGCATAGAAACCCTGCCATCTCAGCAAAATTTTAAATAACTGATGCAATCATTTGTATTTCTAAGTCTTGACTTCTGAATACATACATAATCCTGGGAGTGGCAGCCTTACAAATCTTCCTATAGGGAGTGGTGCACGCTTCTATTCAATAAGTGAGGCGTGTATACAGCGATAAAGACAAAAAGGGAGTAAATGGGGTAAGAGGGTGAAAGGTGTTCGCCCTGTAAAACGTGTTCCAGAGTGACTCTAGCAGGTCTTCGTAGAAACATTCGCTCACCCTTCAGTGGGCTGAAGCACATGTGAGTGATTCTATAATTGGAGATACATTTTGCACTTCAAGAAATGACAAAAAAAAAAAAAAA